TCATCTGAGTGGGATGGTGTGATGTGTGTCCTGCAACACCCGCCGGCCTCCTTGGCCCCTTCCAGCTCTGCTATTGTACCATTCTGTGAAGCCAACTCACCAGCCTTTTGATGAGAACACCGCAGTGCTCGCTTGCTCTTCGTGCAAAGCAGGATCTGAGCAGGGCCCGCCGTGGGGCACCACCACCTCCTGTTCCGTGGAAACGTGTGGGAGAGATGTGTGCCCTGTGCCCCACACCCCGAAGGCAGGATGACATTTTGCGCCGTAGGTGGCGCTCTCCCCAATTTGGGGGGGGCGGGGTAGCGGAAAATGTGGATAGACTTGAAGTATATTGTACCATTTTGAGTGATTGCATGGTTTCGCTTTTCACGAATATTTAATACGATTAACCTCGTTAGCAACATATGATCGGCCGAATTCTTGATAGCCTTATTTAAAAGTTTGACTTGCCAGCAAGATCACCTTTAGTCTTGCTTTTTGCGATGAGGTTTATTTCCCGACAAAAGGTCACTTTTAGTTTTGTTTTTTGCAATAGGGTTTATTTGAAAATTAGCGTGCCTAGGATTGTAGTCTTCAGAAAGAAAATAAGACTCACTTCTACACACAGATCGTGACTCTCTGAGCATAGAGCCGTGCAGTTGGACTAACTGCAGATTTCAGTTTCCGGGTCGATGCTAACCCCCCCCCCCCCGCGCCACCGCCTGGAGCGGAAGTTTCAGTTGCAAATATAGTAGGATTTTAGCGTGCTTGTGATTAAATAGTGCAGGCGGCAAATTTATATTTTTTCTTCCCAGCCCCGAAAAGAGAAAGATAGAAGCAAAGTTATAGATTTCTGTTCTTCCAGTAAAGGGTTGTCCGTCCAATTCTCTCTTTACTCAGAAGTAAAGAGGGTGGCAACTAGGGGAAAAGCCCACTGAGTTCAATCGCAGGCATCCATACAACGAGCATTTTATCCCTAATGGATTGAACCTTGACGTCTGAATTTCCTTTTGAGTAAATAAGCATACGAATGGGCTGTTTAGGTAGCCATAAGCAGGTAGCTATAAGTTACTATACCCTACTCTATTAGTGCTGCAAAGCTCTTCTGTAATATTTTTATGGGTCCTTGTTTCTAGCTGAAAGTTAAATGATACGTTATGTCCAAATGCTGGCTACATAACACGAAACTGAGATCTTTATGCGCACAGACGCTTTGTAATATGCCCAGAGAAAGCTGGTTGTGGGCGGATTAAAAATATAATTTAGAGGACAGTCCTTGAAGTAAGACTTCTGTCTCAGCACACATAGGATTATGCCTTTAATAAAACTTACTTGGATGTATGACCAGGCAGGCATGCACCAGCTTGTGGTACATGATTCCCTTAATCCTTGTGCCAAAGGCAAGCAAGATCTGTTTTGCACTGTTCTATTTGTATTGATTTAAAATTAAATTTCTATAGTTCTCACTGAGCAAGCACCTTCAAAACCTTCATAATTTAGCTCTGGGGAAATAGGTGGCAAGATATTGTATTTTGGGCTTCATTCAGATTCATTTGTATAGATAATTCTGCATTGTGAAAAAGGGGTTAAGGTAAACCCAGATAACACAAAATGATTTAAAAGTTTCAAAAAAATTGTGGGAAAGCATTCTGTACCAGTTGGGTATCATTCCCTAACAATGGGGTCAGAATATCCATGGTTGTGAATGATCATAACATTTATTTTTTTACTTACTTAATTTCTATACTGCCCATAAGCCCAGAACAAATCTCTGGGTGGTTCACAGAGTCAAAAAACCAACAATGCAAAATAAAACACCAAATAACAATGGCAAAATTAGTGACATTAAAATTGAATATATACAATATGAAAGCAACAGCAAGTCTACAACAACTGCATTCAAATTAGTTCAAAGGTACAGTAGCAGAACAATAAATACAACAGAAACACAGAGTTAAATTTGGTTTTAAAATAATTCAAATCAATTAACTATTAAAATGTTGGGTAAATAGGAGGGTTTTGGCCTGGCACCAAAAGGAATAGAAAGTAGGCACCAGGCACATTTCTTTGGAAAGATGATTCCACAGTTGGGGTGCCAGAACTGAAAAGGCTTTTCCCTTACTTGCCACTCCAAGGAGCTCTTGGAAAAGGACCTCAGACAATGACCTCAGGGTCCAGGTAGGCACAGAAGGGAGGAAGCATTCCTTTAGACATGAACTGCTGTCGCCTGTTCAGTGGAAATGTTGCTGCAGTGGGGCTTGTTCTTCCAGTCAAGGAAGAGCAGAGTAAACAGCAGCAGTTCACTTGTTTCCAAATATTTGGAGGTCCAAAACCAGGCCAACTCTGCAATAGTCTTAATTGTAAGATGATAGATGCTTCCTTAAGTTAAGGTGTCCTGTCATATCATTTGGGTGTTTATTTCACTAAGTTATTTATGGGTCGTACTAATGTTTTATTTGTTAGATATTCTTTTGAACAAAATGCTTAAATCTGGGCAGTGCATATGGTTTTCTTTAACAGTCTATTTTCTTTTTGCAACAATCTTGTGAGGTATTTTAGGCAGAGGAAAGGGGATTGGCCTGCTGCCAATGGGGGATTTAAACCTAAATCTTCTGATATCCTGTACTATATAGCCACTTTCCTCCATTAATGCCTTGCATGTTTTGAACGTCAATTCCCATCAACCTCAACCAGCAGGATTAATGGTCAGAAATACTAAGAATTATAGTCCAAAATTTAAGATTGGAAAAGACTGCCACAAATTCTTTCAAGCATGATTGTGCCTGTCTTTATATAGATCTTGTATTGGTGAGAGGGGACTGGTGAGGACTAGACCTAGTGGCTGTAGCAATACTGCAACACCTGAGTCATGTCACTGGTTAATAAAGGTTTGCAGGTGTATTTTGAGGAGCCAGTCTAATTAAATGCCCTCTGACTTGAACCCTGGGAAACAACTCTGAAGGTTACTTGAGCTGTATTGCTCTTTTTAAAAAATCAAGCCAGTACACCTCTCAAAATGAATCTCCAACTTTGTTGATATACAAACTACTGCTGTTGTCTTGACTTTTGTTATGTGCCTACTAAGAAAGTTGTGTGTTCACCTGAACTTGTAAACAAATCTGAGTGACAACTGGATTTTATATTTTCAAAAACAAGGATTTGGCATTTCTGTTTTTGTCCCAACAGTCCAAGATTTAACTTGAAATCTGCTCGTCAGTCTTCTCCCCGCTTCCAACCCCTCATCTGCTTTTTGTAATATCTTGCCAAATGAAGAGGTGCAATTTCAAAGGTTTGCCAGAATGTTGTGTCTATGTGGTTGATCTTAATAAAGCTATTGGCTTACCATGAATGTTGACATTTTTCTTTATGGACCAACATGACTTTGATGATCTGATGTGCTCCAAGGCAGATGTACCTATATTATATAATAGATTATATATATATATATATATATATATATATATATATATATTACTTAAAAGTTAATCTGCATCCATTGCATGGAGTGAAGCTAAGCAGTAATTTCTTCTGCTGCCATGTCTTTAGACAACCCTTTTCAGTGATCTAGTTCTAGTTCAGGGGAGGGAAGGCACCCCTTTGGCTTAGAGAATCAACATAAGGCTCAGCCTCCTCTTTCTGCCATGCCCTTTCTTGTCCTCTCTGAGAGGCAGCTGACACAGTGCTTTCTATGCCAGCTCTGAGGGGGACAGCTTTTGGATTTCCAGCTCGAAAAAATCCTATTCCCCCCACCCCCACAAAACATTTTCAGAATAGCCTAAAATTAAGCCCTTGCTTTGCTTTATGAATGTAGAAGTATGATTCGTATCAGAAAGAGTCGGCATGATGTGATTGTTAAGAGTGTGGGACTGCAACTCAAGAGATCCAAGTTCTAGTCCCCTCGCAGCCTAACCTCTCAGGGTTGTTACAAGGATAAAATGAAGAGAACCTTTTAAGCCATCTGTTTTCTTGCAAGGTATAAATGTAATGTGATAACAATACCATTCTGAACAGATCTGGTAATTTCATACATATGAAATTCACATACAGAAGTTTATGTAGTGCTAGACTTTTTGCTAGCTTTGTATCTCACCTTTGTTAGACACAAATCATTATAAGGATTAACTAGATAAAAGGTGAGGAGAGTTGAGCTAGTACTGAGAAAGAAAGAGATCTTGGGCTTGTGGTGGAAAGACTGTGAAATACCAAATTCCATGTTGGGGATAGTTAGGAAAGAAAATGAGAATAAAGCAATGAAGATCCTACTGCCCTGACACAAACCTATGGTGTGACCTATGTGCAGTTCTAGTCACCGCCCCTAAAAACAATGTGGTCGATCTGGGAAAACTGTAGAAAAAGGCAGCTAAATAGATCAAAGGAGTGAAGCAACTCCCCTATGAGGAAAGGTTACAATCGTGAGATGGGGGGGGGGGACATTGTAGAGGTGCACAAAACCCCATAGTGTGGGGGAAGCGGATAAGGAGCCTTTCTCTCCCTCCCTAGAAGTGGGGATTGTCCTATAAAGTTGATTATTGGAAGAGTCAAACAGATAAAAGGGAGCACTTCACTCAGCGCGTAGTGGGACTATGAAATCTGCTTCTGTCCGATCCAGTGACACCAACCCGGATGGCTTTAAAAAGGGTTTTGTGGAAGAGAAGGTTGTCGATGCCTCCTGGTCGTGCTGGCTATATGTGCCCTTCAGGATCACAGGCAATATGCGGCCACCCATAACGACGAAGTGGCCAGCAGCCCTCTTTCACTACCTGTTCCAATATTAAGGTCTGTGATCCTAATCAAGCTTAGGAGAAAGTCAGTTGAAATGAATAGGGTGTACTTCCGTGTATAACAGGGTTAAGCCTCGCCCCATATCGGGAAATGGCACGGGCAGCCGCCTCTTCTGAGGGGACCTGAAAAGCGCCGCAAGGCCGGGCTGCCTTGGAGAGCGGGCATTTCTCTCTTCCCGGCATGGAGCGCCTGCAGGCCGGGCGGGCGGGCGGACCAGGGAACTGCTCTCTCTTCGGAGCCCGGGCCGCGCGCGGCCTGCAGGCGGCCATCTCTGGACGAGGCGCGGCCTGCGTAGGAGGAACGGGAGGCGGAAACCTCTGGGCGGGCTTGGCGGCTCGGCTTGTAGGCAGCGAGCCGCGATGGCTGACCGAGGGCCGCGAGAGGAGGGCGGCGAGCCTTCAGCCCGCTACTTTTGCACGGCGGGACGCGGCATGGAGCCCTTCGTGCTGCGGGAGGTGCAGGCTCGGCTGGGCGCCACGCAGGTGAGCGGCGGCCCTGTGGCTGCGCTTAGGCATCGGAGGGCTCGGCTTGTGAAGGGAACGCAGCTCTGCGGTGCAGGGTACTGGGCGATTCAGGGGCAGCGCCCCCTTTGGAAGGCCGCTCGGGCGACCCGGGTGTTGCTCCCACACACGGGCGTCTCCGAGCGGGCAGGAGCAGTCCCTCCTTGCGGCTTGGAAGGCCCGTGCAGACGGCGCCTAAACTACCCCGAGGAGGTTGCTTCTCTGTACGCCTTGGAGGACCCGTTGTGATAACTTGGGCTTGGGCAGGTTTACTCAGAAGTCAGCCAGTTCACTTTTTCTCAGGTAAGTGTGCGTAGAGCTGCTTCGCTGAGGCAGTGTTAGGAAATGGCCCGGATCTTCCATTTGCAGCCCCGAATTTCTTGAGGCCACCCTCCCCACCGCGCTGCTGCCCACGGGCACTTGCTGAAAGGTTTATTTGGTCTGGTTTCTGAGCTTTGCCAAAGCTCTCTGGGCAGTTAACAATTCATCCAGTGCGATAAAATACAAATTCAAAAGGACAGTATAAACGTTCGGTACAAAATTCGAACGGTTGAAGCGAGTTCAATGTAAATCAAGGGATTTGCTACCATAAGATGTAGTGATGATCACCAATTCAGACAGGTTTAAAAGAGGTCAAAATTAATGGAGATGGCTATGAGTAGCTGTGAGTCATGAGGGTTGCGTTATCACGATGATAAAGGAGTAGTGCCAGGATTTTCTGCTTGGTGTCTTAGTTGGCCACTTTGGGAAACAGGACATGGGACTAGACAGATCTTTGGCCTGATCCAGCAGGCATCTTCGTAATCAGCTGCCTCCTGCTACTTGTCAATCTTGTTTCTCTAAGGCAGGTAGCATCCCACACTCATCTGAAAAGAAAGGGTTTATCCCCCTTTACATGTGAAAATTTAGGTATGTACATACGACTTCAGTACTGAAGATTCCCAAAATGGAATAATTCAACTTTAACTTGGAGGCCTGCATTGAGTAGGGGCTTAGACCTAATGTCCGTATCGGTCTCTTCCAACTCTATTATGATTCTAAAGCAAAATGCTTATAAAATAAGTTGTTGCTGCAGGATATTTTTTTGGGGGGGTGGACAGTGTCTAAAGCAAAAACTGGATGTTGTCACACTGGGGCCAAGCAGTCTCCCCTTTCTTTGGTTCATTGGTTCATCATCGAGGCCTGTTAACTGATGTTAAACCACAGGTCCTTGGTTTTGACATACTGGGCAACTCATTTAATACAAGCCAGAAACTAAAACCTGAAATGGTGAGTGAAGCATAGCAGTTGATGCAAACTTGGTGGGCTAGGGTGAAACAGATACTTGTTGTTTAGTAACAATACATTTTGCTAACATTTTTTTCTTCTTGATGCAAAGCTGTGCATTGGTAAGATGAAGTGCTTCTTGGTAGGCCTAAATCAGGCAACAGTAGATACCACTTCCTGTTCCAGCTGGACTATCTTCTACCACAGCCTTCCCCAACCTGGTGGCCTCAGAGGCATTTGGTGTGCAATTCCCAGAATTCCCATCTAGCAGGGCCATTGACGGGATTCTGGGTGTTGCAGTCCAAATGTGTCTGGAAGGCACAAAGTTGGGGAAGGCCGCTGATTTGTGCGTACAATTCCAAGGGAAGAAGGGAGGTGAAGAAATCAGGCATCTTGTCCTGCTTTTACTTTGCTTTGCTAGTGTTCTGTGATGATCCACTTTGAGGACTTGAGACAAAATAGAGGACATAATTCAGTAAACAAAAATAAGTCTGTTCTGGAAAATATATTTTTCAGATTTATTATATCAATATACATTCTCTATCAAGGTAGAATATGTATCAGGAAAAGTTTTCTTCAGTACAAATGCTGAGTTACGTATGCTGAAGAAGTTGAAGTCTGCTGAACGATTATTTTTGCTGCTGAAGAAATATCCTCCACTTTCCATCTCTAGAAATAAAGGTAACATTTTACTGCTTTGTTCTTGTCAAGCCCAAAACTTGTCTAGCCCAAAACTTTTTCTCTTCACCATGTCCTTCCTCTCTACTTGTGAAAAGAGTCAGTGCAATTCATTTTCAGGGCTGAATGTGGGTTAAACCAAGGTTTAAATCCCTTCTTAGCTGTGACCTCAGGCAGTTAGCTATCTCTAGTTCTTGCTTACCTAAGTAGGTGATTAGGAAACAAATGCTTCTTAGAAATCTTTGGAAGGCAAGATATAAATTTGAAACATAAGAACACTGCAGGGACTTGTTGTAGCAAATCCCTGCTTAAATGCTTTTCCAAATAAAAATTATATGGAACAACCATCATAGTGCAGGGTTCCCTTTCTCTTTTACATTGCTCCTTTATCCCACTTTACTTGTGTAAACATTTGTACTAGCTTGCCAGAAAGCTTAATCTATGCAGATATACTTGTATGAGCCTGGAGCTTGGCTTGCTATTTTAACATAAGTTCTTGTACCACTTCAGATCACATTCCTAGTGTGTCCATGCAGTTGACTTTTGAGGAATACATTGTCCTTAAAAAAAACAAAAACAAAACAGAAACAGTTACACGATAGCTTTTAAAAGTCTTTTTCTTAATTAAGAGGTAGGAAATCCCATTGCATTTTAGTAAAAACCAGGAATGATCAAATTTGGTTGTTCCTTGAATAACTAAAAATTACCATAGGTTTCATTCAAGCTTTACACCTAACAGCCACTTAAAACTAGCAACATAATCCTGGCCATATTTGCAACAAAGAAAATCACGTTGATTTTCAATAGGATCTAGAAATAGAATTGGAATCAAAATTCACCTGGAAGTGTCTGTTTAAGAGGAGCTTTATGGTTGATTATAAAGTTTAGAGACTACCCTGTTGTTTTTCCCTAGTCCTAGCTTAAAGTCTGGGAAGGAGGAAATTATCTTGCAAGGTTACTCAAGGACTGGATGTAGGGGAAGGGGATGCAGATCTTAAAGGGTCTTTCTCTTTTTTCATCCCATAAAGAAGCATTCAGTGAAATGAATTTCAGTGTTTGGAAATACATAGCTATGTGGTATTAAAAGACTACACTGCACAGATTATGCATTAAGACAATATTTTTATTTTAGGAAAAGTAATCCATGACATTCAAAAACTTGTAAATGAGAGTCCAAAATGTTGGCTGGATATTATTACCCTTTGGAGAAGTCTTCACAGTCAGGAGGTGAAACAAGAACATTTATGTCAGGAGTATCCAGATTCAAAAAAACGGAAATTGCAAGAGGAGGGAAATACCAGAAATAAGAAGAAGAAGAAAGAAGTAACATTAGAGATAATTTCTGATGAAAGCCAAATAGAAGCCCAAGAAAGATGTGACACAAAAGAGGTTCATAAAGACTTGTCTCAAGGCAGGTCCTCTCTAGAGAAGATTCCTCAGCTTATCCAAGAGAAATCTGTTGAGAGCAGCAGTTGCTTCAGCTTCAGAGTGTCTTGCCGCTGTAGTGGAGCACTTGCAAAAACATTTACTGCACAGGTATGTCAAAAAAAACCCCCTGAAAGTCTGAATTTTCAAATGCATGAAAATAGAACTGTAAAACCTCATAAACCAATATATGTAATCAGAATCAACCAGAAATCAGTGTTTTGTGAAATATCTTAAAGTATCTCAATCCAGAAGCATTCATTGTAATATCTTTCTGGACTTTTCTTTAAGAATGTATGGCTAGTTTAAATAGCTGAATTCTTCCCTGCAGCTTGTCTTTGGGCAATCTGGCAGATCTCTTAGATGTGGCTGCTACAACAAATTCATGCAAAGTAGCTGCCACCTCATTGTATGTAATATTAATCATACTTTACCCTTTCTCCATGCAGTTTGGTACCATGTACAATTGCAAGGAGTAATTTAGATTTCAAAGCAATATTCAAAGAATATTGATTAATCAGGGCATCATTTTAGCCCACTAAACTTCTTAAATTAATCTAATCAACTAAATGTTAAGCCATAGAAAACATGCACTTGAGGCTACTGGTGTGTTAGTGACAAAATGTTCTATTTTATATTATAGCAGTTGCTTTTATATGTGCAGCTGCTTTAAATCCTCTGGACTAGAGACATGAGAATTTTATTTTTCTTGCAAAACATGTGAGCATGTCCTGTGCAAAGCCCTGAAAACAAACAAGTATATGTCCACCAAAAATGCTAGCAAATTGTTGGACATGTGCTCATGTTTGATTTGAGCAACTGTTCCACTTGTACAACTATCTTGTACATATTTCCTAATTTGTGCAAATTTCCTTTGCAGGCTGGTCAGCTCTGCTTTAGTCTGTGGAAGAAAATAGTGCAAATTAGGGCACTTATACAAATTTCACACTCTGTCACTGCTTATTTTGCAGTTTTCTCATTTGTGCTGATCACAAAGCAAGATCACAAAACTGAAAAGGATAAGGTACAAGACTGGCAAGATGATGTTCAGAGAACTTTAGCAATATATAACCTGTTTTTCCATCTCTGCTCAGGTGGTTGGAAAAAGTGTACAACACTTTAGGTGTACAACCTAAAATATGCTGCAAGTGCATAGAAATGGATTTTATTTCTTTTTATGCATAATCAGTAACTATTAAATTTACTGAACTGCAGATATGTAAGGAAAATAGCACTGTTTGAGGAGGTTATTTGAGAACTATTAACATTTTGCACTCTGATAAACCCTTTAAAAGAAAGATGAGGTTTTTTTTGAGTTCCTATTAATTAGAAAAGGCAGGTGTGAAATGCAGAGTTTTGTCTGATCACACATACTCAAGTTAAATTTCAGAACTGTAATTTCTAATGGTTTGGATATCAAGCAAAAATTTATGTTCTAAAACAGACGACTGTTAATAGACATTGAAGAAAGCAAGGAAGAAACAATTCTGTTCTTAATTCTGATGCTCATTTCAAGCATCTCTGCAGACTGGATAATGAATTGTTTTTTTATATATTACTCCTTGTCTCACATGCTGGAAACATTCAGATAATCATGCATAGTGTTATTTTCAGCCCAGAGTTTAGAAAAAGTTCCACTCAGTAAAGTTGGAATTACGTGAGAGTGGAAGGGCATAAGATGGGCTTGTTTGTGCATGCTAAGGTTTGTTTTGTTTCTTAAAAACATCTAGCTAACCACTGCAACTTCAGCAATTCATTTGTCATCCAGCTACCCAAGTATCTTTCAGCTGACTTGTGATTGGCTTTTCAGGAGATGGGAAGAATAATTGGAATAGCTCTTATGAAGAGTTTTGGATGGAAAGCAGATTTGAGAAATCCAGATATAGAGGTAATAAACAAACTTAAGAAATTTAAGTATTAGCTGTGTTTGTCACTGCTTTCTTCAAAACCCGAATGGCCTTTTTAGTCTACTAGATGGAATATCTATATGTATTCTTATTCATCCACCCAAGAAAAACATTCTTACATCACACTGATATTACTGCAACATCTTGATCACATTAAGATCTGTGTGCTTTTATATATTTGGGGCAAGAAGTGTGGAATTCTTGCAGCATTTACGGTTAATTACATAAGGAGCACTAGATTTGTTTTGAGTTTTCCTCCACCTGACCTCTAGCCATTATCCTTCTTGCTTCATCACCCTCAGTTCCAGTGTATACCGAGGAGCCTGTCAGCCTCTGCTGGAGGGGAGAAGGGAGCTATCATGTCAGTTGCTTGAGTCATCTCTGTATTCCTCAGAGCAACCTGAACTTTGGCAGGAGTGCCTACCATACCAGTTGGAAAATCCCCCAGGGACTTCTGGAATCCATCTGGATCCATCAGCCTCTAGGGGTGGCCCATCTTAATGGATCTCCCACCCTTGCAGAGGGGAAAAGGAGGCAATAGTCCAAACCCCAGGAGGAAGTGATCCAACCATGACAAAGGGGTAGATGTTAGCCCCCCAATTTTCAGACCACCATTTTCCTGGCCAGTCAAAAATATCAGGGCCAGAGTGTGACCTTTTATATACATTGGACTGGTGACAGCCCCATGGTAGTCATGGCTACCATGAAGTCCTGAGTAGTCCTGGACAACGTGGCCTTAGCATGGAAGTTGAGATCCCCAGGACCAGCATCCTGGAAGTTCCCAACCCCAGGTCAGAGACCACCTCTGCCAACTCAACGGGGTGAGCGGTACACCAGCAGGATCCCTAATCTGTCTTGATTGTCCAGTGCAAGATAAAGACACTCGAGGCACAAACTAGAGTAGACAGGAAGTCTCAAGAGGGAGATAGACTCTTAATAGACTGCGGACACCACCCCTGTCCCTGGGCCTATAGATGATGCTGGTACCATACAGACGACCCAAGTAGACAGAGCTGGGAGAAGGTAGCCCCATCGGCCTCTTCCACCCAGGTCTCAGTTATGCAGGCCAGGTCAGCCCCTGATCCACAATTAAATCATGCAGCAGGAAGCTCTTATTGTATGCTGAACTGGCACTAAGCAGCAGCAGCAGCAGCACAAGGCGCAAGGGCAGATTTGGCATGGTTGCCAAGAATCGCCCAGCTGTGGGGAAGCACCAGAAGTGGGGAGACATCTATTCCCTCTTCTCCTACACTGGCTGAGTCCTCTTACCAGATGACAGGGCAATGTAAGTAGATGACAGAAACCAGGACAATGTAGATAGATGACAGAAGGCAGAGCTGATAGCATGTAATAAACGTTCCCTCAGCATCCTGAGTTCCAATCAGCCAAAGCTAAAATTACAAGTAATTATTTAATGTAAGTTTCATTCCCTTTCAGATCTTTGTGCATCTAAATGATATGTACTCTGTGATTGGGATCCCTCTTTTCAGGTAGATATAACATTAAACAACTGTTCACCATGTGGTCCTTGGGCAATAATTCACTGAAGAGAAAAGGGCTATTTAGTTCCTTCTAATCAGAGATTTTTTGGGCAATATTAATATTACTTAATTATACCCAATATTAATAAATATTCAAAACTTTGGAAAGGGGGGAACTTGCAAATGATGTTGTCCAAAGAAACCTGGCAATTTCTTTGCCAGTGTGGCGTAGTGGTTAAGAGCATGGGACTGGAACTCAGATGATCTGGGTTCTAGTCCCTGTTCAGCCATGGAGCCAACTGGGTGACTTTGGGCCAGTCACAGACTCTCAGCCCAACCTACCTCACAGAGTTGTTGTAGGGATAAGATGGAGGAGGAGATGTAAGCTGCCTTGAGCCCTTTGTAGGAAAAAAGCAGGATATGAATTGAAAAATTAATTAATTAAATTAAATTAATTTTGGGAGAATCTAATCACAGCAACTGTAAAGCAAAAAAAGCAGAGGGAACCCTGCCTCAAAGGTATCTTACATCATGTAAGATTAACAGGATGTATAGCTTGGAACATAACAGATGTGGATATAAACATTCTTATTATATGTATAAATTGTCATTGTGACAAAATTAAATCATACTGTTTTGATTTTTATTATACTGAACTATTAATGGTATGATAAGGTATTTTGAGCTGTCTAAAAGGCTGTGTAGAAGTCTCCAATTTGGAAATTATTAATAATTTGATGATATAGCTACAATAATTGCTTATTGGGAAAAGATTATTGATCCTTCTCTGGCAAATTACAATTTTAGCACATGGGATGTTGCTATTGTGGTGGAATTGGCAAATAATATAAGGTCAAGAAAAAGCCAAATGTTTAAAAATAGTTTTTTTGGGAAATAAGCATACCTCTGTTGCTTTCTAGAATGAAAATGTCAGAATGGTGTTCATCCCTGTACTTTATTTCATTGCTCTAAAATGAAGGAGGGGGCTGTAGCTCAGTGGCAGATGCATACACTGTATTGCAGTCCAGCATCAGTAGTCAGCAACTCCAGGTAGGGCAAGAAGAACTTCTGCCCTAAAATCCTGTAAAGATGCTGCCAATCAGTGTCAACAGTACTGTGTTAGATTAATCAATGAATGCATGAATGTGTAAATATGGAAATAATTATGAATAGTTCAAGATGTGTTATTGTTCAAATAAAAATGAACTAAATCACTACTCACAAAGCATTAGGATCCTTGATTCAGGGTGAAATTTTAGCAAGCTTACCATGCATGTCTGTTGCAGCAAAAACAGAGCAGTCTGTAGCTCCTTAAACAGGGTATCATACTTACTGCAACCTATTAAAGCTTTATGAATTACAGCCTACTTATGTCAGATACATGTAGTTTTGTTTTTAATTAGTAAATAAACAGAGATATAGATACCCAGTCCTTACACATTGGTGCATTGAAAAAGTAAACATTACAGAAAAAGCATGAGATGTAAGAACTAACAACAGCCTGACTGTTAAACAAAACAATGCTTTTGTGTTGTTTATGATGATATCGAAACTCATAATTGATGGTGGTTAGGGAAGCAACAACCTAGACTTGTAACCCATGTTTTTTCGTCCACTAAGAGTGGGCATTAAAGAGCCAACACAGCCACTTGCCCCACTTCATTCTTTGTTAACTAGGTTGTTTTCATGAGAGCCTGAAGTTTGTAGTCATGGTGATGTTATTATGTATTTTGCTGCCTAAATCAACAAGGAAAAAGTTAACTATTTTTGTGAGAGAGAATCCTCCGATTTCAGTTAAATCCAGTTTCAGTGGAATTGCACTCACAAAAAGTTTATGCAGAAGATTGCCTTTGGGGACATTTTGAAGACCTGTTGAAATGTGGTGACCTTTCACTCATCTTCAGAGTGCTTTGGGAAATGTGTGTACCAGTAACTACTACCCTTTGTTTTCCATTATAATTTTTTCACTCCTCTGTTCACAAAGTTATTTAGTCTTCTATACACATTTGTGCATGTTTATTTGGATAGGTAACCTGCCAACTGTGCATAAATAGAGGGAATGCTGTCCAGTTCAGATACGAGTATATTCCCAAAGCTTTTTTTGTGAATGTCACTGCTTATGTACCCAAACCAGCACCATTAATGAATAGGATAGAGGTATTGGCAGGTTTAGAGGAACATAAAGGTTTACAGAAGTACAAAAAAAGAAAACAGAAAAAACTTGCAGGGAACCCCAAAATAACCGAATGAATCATGGTGCTGAATGATTGTTGGGAAGGAAACTTAGGGTGAAGATATAGAATATACTAACCCAGGAAAAGTACTTGCTACAGAATGTCTCTACCTTGAAACATTTTATTAGAAGGCCCATCTGTGCAAATACACACAAAGAGAAAGAGGATGGTATCTAACAGTGTTTACTGTTCACAGACTTCCTTTGGCAAGCAGGGAATATATCAAAACTGCTGGATTGCGATCTACAATTGCTTGGGCTATGACATCTCTTGCTGAAATCAAGGTAATGAGCAAATAGTTGCTTTAGCTACTGAGCAACTGTTTTGGGAAGTTCACAAACTCTTATCATTAAAAGTGTTTTAATGTGCATGATTGCTAGTGTAGTGTGTAAGGCCACAGTCATGTATGGACTCACTTGAAAGTAAGCTCCTCTGAACTCAGTTGAACTTAATTTATTAGTATTATGATGTGAGATCATTCAGCCCTAGTAACACTTACTAGTAATTTTATGTAAAATGTGAACCATAAAGATTACTTGATAATGTATGGATTCTAGTAATATATGAGGATTTTAAATCATTTTCACCTAACACTCAAGCATGGTGGTTGACATAGGTCTATCAACGGAATCTGTGACTAAGAGGATTTACTACACAACTACATTGGATTTATTTTACGTTAGTATATTTGGTGGGATTCATCTGAAATTAACGTCACTGACCATAGCCATGATTTCCCAGATAAATAATGGTGAACTTTTTAGAGGCCGAGTGCCCAAACTGGAACCAAAACCTGACTTATATATAGCAAAGTATCAATACAAAAATAAAACGTGAAAACTGAGGGTTTACTTTAGAAAAAACACATCAGAGCCAGTCGAAGCATCTCTCTCTCTCTCTCTCTCTCTCTCTCTCTCTCTCTCTCT